TTAGTAGATTTTAAAGTAGTAGTAGTAGTAGTAGTAGGAGTAGTAGTAGTAGTAGTAGTAGGAGTAGTAATAAATAGTAGTAATATAATAATGGCAGCGGCAGTAGTACTGGTGGCAGTGGTAGTAGTAGTAGTAGTAGTAGAGGTGGTAGTAGTAGGAGTAGTAGTATAAGTAGTAGTAGTAGTAGTTGTTGTTGTTGTAGTACCCACTACTGCTCTTACATGCATTACTGCTATACTATTTTCATTCCACTGCGCTATATGCTTACAGTATCAATACACTAGTATAAACGGTACATATATGTGTGTATCATATTATACTGGTGTGTATATATATATGTATAATAGCTAGATTATACGATCAAGTCTTACATACTGTATCATATAGAGTACAACAGCTAGTACACAACCATACTACGAATGCTACTGCTGCTACTCCTCCTATACTGCTACTCTTACTCCCACTGCTACTGCGACTGCTACTGCTGCCCATGAAATGCCCCATAATTGCCTAACAACAAGAGGTGCCCCTGTGATTGCCGCTGAAGATGGACGCCATCTTGCGGGCTCGTTTCCGGCTACGCAGCGCGCAGAGTCACATGAAATGTTACGTGTGAGCAGCTATGATTCAAGGGAGGACTCCCAGGACCCGAACTTCTTTCTGCGTGCCCCCAACCGCAGGAAGAGGAGAAGCGCGCAATCGCTGGCAAGTGGTAGCGCAAAGAGATCCCCTGCCAAATCCAACCTGCCCGGCTCTCCAGTGCCCCCAGCCCAGGCCTCCGCAAAAACCCCTCCGCCGCCTGTCCAGCCCCATGAGCCCAATGAGGATTTGGAGCACCGCTCTGTCTCGGAGGAGCGTGAGGATGACAGTATGTTGCCGCCCTCTTCGTTTGCCAGGGCTTTTGCAAAGGAGAAGAAAGATGCTACATGGTGGAAGAGGCTCAATCTAAATATTCCCACGTGGCTGATTATGATGAACTAGTGTGGAAAGGGATGATTCTGATGAACTAATGTTGAAACGACACATACTTACGTTATTGCTATTATGCTTATAGCTGCCCCATCTAAGGATGTACCGCTATTTCCGGCCAAAGTCGGATGGCAATGTGAAGGCATCCTCGGACGCCATGCGGCTGTACAAAAGTCCAGAAGGGCGCAAACCGATCGGCAAGTGGTTTGACAGTTCCCTCTGCAATCGCTAGCTGTGGGTAGACCCTGTAGCTACCAAGCCCAACCCCTAACCCCAACCGACCCTCGATCTATAGGTCTCAAGCTGCGGGAGCTGTTGGCCAAGCATGGCGATTTTGGTCGCGTGGAAGTGTCTTTGAGGAAATGGCGTTCCCAGATGCGTGGATTGGCAAAGGAAGGCGGCTGGTACACGAAACTGTACCTCGAGCTGGAGGCGAAGTGGTCGAAGTCTGCTGGCTGAAATTATGCAAGATAGCATGCAGCGCTCCAAATATAAAGGATGAATGGTTGACACGCTCCTTCTTCCAATGCCCTTCCTGTAGGCTAGGCTTGTGTACAATTCGAGGTCCATGATGCGCAGCGCAAACAATACAATATTTATTGTCAAGCTGGAATCCCTTATCGGCCCAAACAAAGGTTTAGGATTTAGGGCTTTGTCTCACGCTAAGGAAAATGATTGCTAATGCCTGGAAGTGGGCAGACCAGCAGGCTGGCCGAAAAAGGGTGAACGAGGTTCATGGTGAGGAGGAGATTAGGATAGTGTTGAAAGACACTTTCCTCTTTATGGACGAAGAGGGGGACCTCACTGAGCAAGCAGGCTCCTTCGATGTGGAGGACAAGACGCATGTAGATATGACAGTTGAATATCAAGTAATCCTAGAATCTGCTATTTTGAGGTTTCCCTTCAAACTAATATTCTATGAGGATGAGAATGGAACACTGTTTGAGAGCGACCTGCCCAACATCGCCGCCAATGATGAGAAGCTGCTCGAGTCTCTGGGGGCACCCCCAGAGACAACGCCTCAGGCAGCTGTGACAGGAGGTGGGGCTTTCAAGCATCCAGTCAGCGCTGCAGGGTTAGAGTTCAGAGGACTCATTGGCGGGCTTATGTTGCATGTTGTATTTGGTTAACTACTTGTGGCAACATGTAGCAATCAGGATCACCTATCCGACTCTGCGGCAGAATGCGTCGCCGTATACTTTGCTCCCCTCCTTCATTGAAGTTGCTGGTCGCAAGATGGACTCTACCGAAGGGGTCTTGGCCTGGGCCTTGTTGTCTCCCAAATTTCTATGGTAGAACAACATCTGAAAGTGTTCGTCGGATAAAGCCTTTCTCAGTTTCTGCGTGGTTGAGGACAAACTGCAAGCGATCACGAATCCCAGGGCGCAGTCGCGCCTTGGCAAGTGTTGTGTAAAGAATGCCGATTTTGGAGTAAAGCTCAATAATGTATGGCTACCGAGTTGGGCAAAAACTCTGAGGCTCATAGCTTTCCTGTCTCAACTCAAAACCTACAGCCCAAAACCGTACACCCCAAAGCCGGAATCATACAATTAAAAAAACCCACAAGCCTGAAACCCTGCAACCTAACCCTAAATAGTCCTGGGGTCAGGTTGGCTGCGACACTCACAGTGCAGCTCAACAAGTTGAAGGACCAGTATGAGAAGATGCAACACCTACAGGAGAAGGTCGCCACGGCCAAGAGTACGAGGTTGGGCTTTAGCTAGGAGAAGAAATATACTTTAACATTCCCAAAGTTGGGCCTTGATCATTACATGCCGCCTTAAAAACTTCCCCTGACTTCCCTAGATAGCCTGCCTAGATAATCCCCTGCAGGCCCGAGACGTCCCAGGAAATGCTTGCTATCTTCGCCGAGTGTACTCGCCTTGATGTCGCCCTTAACAATCTTGTGGTCCGCGCAAGGCGGGGTTGAGTTCATAAAAAACCTCAATTCTAAAGCCCTGAATTACATAAGCTAAGGGAAGGGCCATCTGTCCATGTCACGCAGGCAGATGAAGCCCTGCAGCGCGCCTTCCGTGGCTGGCCAAGGGTCAGGTAGGAAAGGTCCCAAAGCCAAGGCAAAGAAGTCTTCTAAGAAGGCTACCTCCTAAGAATGTTAGTTAGGAGGCTGAAAGCTGACATGAGTGATTTTGATCGGGCCAAGTTGTGGCATGATCCACACAGGGCCTGAGGTTCGCATGGCAATATGTTCATGTGAGCGCACTGCTGCGCAGTGCTTCCAATTTGCAGTTATCCCGGGGTACGCGCTTTGACATCAATCTCCTCGCTTGCTGGACGAAAAGAACATCATCGTGTGCTATTCAACTAGGGTAGCGCAAGTTCTTCTTCAAAACACGTGCCTCTGACTTTCATAACGACATGGAGGTGTGGATGACTCTGAAGCTGATACTCTCCCTGAAGGACTACGCGTAAACTTGAGCAGTTGTTACCTTAAAGTCCTCTCCCAAACCTCATGCTGGCCTTCTACAGGAGTTCGATACCGGGTGGATGATGTCGACGTTGGAGCAGGAGAAGACCTTGCGGACGAATTGTTAATTGGATTCGAGGATGGCGCAGCTTTGCTTCGTTGGAGTTGCAGGGTACGACTTAAAAATAGTTTACGGCATTTGTATATAGGTTCTAAAAGTGTTTTTTGTAACATGGGCGACAACAGTGGAAGATTCGGGGTTGAAGGTTTGAGCCTCAGGATTCCATGGAGGATGCGGTTCTACAAGCGTAAGACATGCTGTCTAGTCCACGGTCCACCAACGGCCTATGAGTAAATTAGTCGGATCCTACGTGTCATTGTGGCCTCCCCATTGAAGAGTTTTAGATTTGTTGACTAGAGACCATATTGATTGTTTGAGAGTCTTTTGTGTTTTTGCAACATCCCTATTGACATGGGTCCCTCTAAGTGCGCTCGCCATATTCCCAACATTCCCAGCAAGTGTTCTCCACCATTTGCTCACTCCCCATCTCAGACATGCTTCACATGCCATGCTTCCCCCAATGGCCCAATCAAACCCCTGAACTGGATCTGTAACATTCCTTACTGGATTACTTCCGCCCACAGATTTCCTGGGTAACAATTAAGGTATACGATTTTCTGTTGGTGCGGCATACGCCCTGTACTCTCATTTATCCTGCGATACCTACACAAAAACCTTTCCGCGCTTCTCAGCAGCTCCTGAAAAGCTTCCACACAAACAATCTTGATACCCTTGAATTTCAACCTAGCCACAAGCATGATTCCTGCAAAGTTGCTCCGACCTGTTCCAGCGCCAGAATCCTATCCTAAATGCTGACTTATTGCATATAAGCCTCGCAAGAACCCATTGTACTTCAACCCTGTTCAAGACCTCCTTTAGTGAGCCAGTCTTCTATTGAGGCGCCAGCCCGAGACCTTAAACCCTGATGACAAAGAAAGCCTTGTAAGACTAGTGCAGGTAAGTCTCAAGAATTGAATGCCCCATCTACCCTCCAGACACATCCCTGAATTGCGGTCCAACTCCCGTGAGAACCATACTTCAATACCTTAAGCCCACTGAGCCCACCCATCATCAGGCTACCCATCAGCTTCAGGATCAGCTTGTAGATGTAGCTCTCCTGTCAGATCGCCCCGAAAAGGGATTGCAGGTTCAAGTTTTGGGTTGCGCTTTGCCTGGAAATGCCAATATCAGACCCATATAACAATATGTCAATACAGTAGTTGCTGTTGACACGTTAGTTTATTGGGTTGTTTCTGGGGATAAGTCCTGGTCCTCGTAGACTATCGCAATTCCCAGAATGCATGATTGTGAATGAAACCCAAAACTAGCTTAAAACTTACTTTGCTACCATCCCCGAACTTTGCACCAGAACCCACAAACTTAGGCAGACTCCGCGGCTAGGGTCGTGAGACTAGCGAAGGTGGCTGACAGGAGATTGAAAGCTCATGGAAGCTTGGCAGTTCAACGTTATTGTTACGCTACAGCTGGGGGCAGACTTAGTGAGGTGAAGAGTTCCCATCCATAATCCAAGCTTGTGCAACTTAGGAATTTTGGACCCTATGCTGCAGAAAATGGCTGCTTGCGGCAGTAGCCGAGATGACTCCCACATGTGCCGGAATCTACACAAGCTGATTGAGAAGTCTGGAAGAGCCCTCCAGCTTCCTATTTCAACAGCCTGGGTGCCCATCAAAACGTCTAGGCGGGGCAGGCCTCTGAAAACGAAGATGGTGGATTATCCGCTGCTGCGACCTTCAGACTGGCTTACATGCATCTTCAAGACTGGTGGCCAGTTCCTCTTAGCAGGGCAGACTTTAGATGACATCGAGGCTTTCGGAGACACCCTTGAAACCTTTTGGTCTAGATACACGGCCCTTGATCCGCATCTGGAGTTTGAAGGAAATCCTCGTTTGAGAATTCCGTACTTGCTGCACGGTGATGAAGGCCGTGGACGAGGGAAAAAACCCGTACTTGTTCTGAGCATGCAACCAGTTGTTACAAGTGCTGACATGTCAGAGAGCAACATGTCAGGGTATCTCGTCACAACATTTGTGTTACGGTGCCCGTGGAAGGCATAGGGCTCAGAGTTTTGGTCCTGGGGTCCATAAGCTAAGGCATTCGTTGTGCACCCGCCTGCTCCTAGCTGTGCTACCGTCAGTGCTGTACGTGCAAGACAAGACGTTGGATGCTGTTCTGTCGGCGTTGGTGCAAGACCTCGTTACTCTACAAGTGGATGGCATTGACGAGCCCCAGTTGTGAATATGTAAAGCAGGTATAGGATTTATGGATAAGTGTTTAAGGCTCAGGGCTTGGTAAGGATAACGGGTTGGGGGAAACTCAGGTGCAGTGGCGTGGCAAAACATTCCATTTCCAGCTGGCTTATCTTGGAACTAAAGGGGACTGGCCATTTTTGCGGACAGCTTTCAAGTTATCCTGTGGCTACAACTGCCTTCGCAAGTGCCATCTGTGCGATGCCGAAGACCCTAGGTTTTCAAGACTTATTCCTCAAGTCTAAGCTGTTTCGACCATGCACCCACAAACCAGATGAGAAACCTATAACATTTTTCATGGATCTTATAATCATAAACACATGGGAACCCTAAGGCCAAACCACAAACCCACCTCTAAATGACAGCCTAGGACTGGTGGAATGTCAAAGGCAACATCAAGTCTTTGGCGGCCGATTACGTGCCATCAAACCCCTTCAAGACATGGTTGGAGCCATCCCCTTTGAGACTTCTACCACATGCAGATGACCCGAAACTGATCCGTGTGGATGCTGCCCACACATGGGCCATCAATGGTGTTGGCAAGGACTTGTATGCCTCATCTCTGATTTTGCTATCAAGGATGGGCTTGTTCGGGAAGAATGGATCTATAGAGCGGCGACTACAGGCGGCTTTTGAGAAATTCCAGGATTTCCTGAACCGTACAGGGAAATCCAGCACAATTGATATCTTCAACTTTATGACTCTGAAGTGCTCCAAGTCGCTACTTGTTTGCATCACGAAAACTTCAGGGGAAGTAGAGCCCCGAACCTCCACCCACCCTGACCCAAAATGGCCAACCCAGGTACAACAGCTACCCCTCCGGACTGGGGAAAGGACACGATTGTGCTGTTGTGGGCGCATGGCTTGCAGAGGAGCTTGCTGGAGCGGACCCAGCCTCGCTGGACACTTGAACGGTGTATTATTTCGGCTTGTTTTGGAAGGCTTCATGGGCTAAGGGTCTACCATGGGTTTATCTTCATGTAGGGCTGCTTAGTTAAATATACACCAATCAGATCGAGGAACTGAAGTATCGAGCCGTCTTCGATGTCTTACGTTTCACAGTGAGAGTCTCTGACCAGTTTTGGCGAGGCATCTACAGTGGTGGCATGTGGCTTGACCGCGCAAATGCGCAGGAGCTTTGCGTTGACGGCTGGCATATCGTTGTAGCTTAGCCCGAATTCTTATTAATGTTCTGCTCGTTGGTGTATATACAGCCTGGTCTAGGGTGGCCCCTATAATTGCATGCTCCAAATATAGAATAAGTAAATGAGGCTGGATATTCAACCCTGGCCTCCCTGTCGGCGAAATTTGGCCACAAACTCTACCACATCCGACCGAAGTTGCACATGCTAGCTCACATCGTGTTCGTTGGCTCCTAATAGAAATTGTGTTTCCTATTCTATAAGCCCAGACGATGTACATGAAATAAACCTATTAATTGTTTTCTGGTATGAAGCCCGCAAGCTAAGGCTCTTCCTCCAACACCAGTGTGACCGAGAATGCCAATTTATCTTGAACGTCAGCACTTTTATGACTTGGAGTGACGAAGACTTCATTGGTCGGATATGTAGACTTGCTAGAAGATGTGCGAAGCCATTAATGGCTTTGCGCACAACTCAGCGCGCAAAAGCGCTCTATGTGCGGCAGTGGACTCGCCATGGCATGTTCATGAACTCAGGCCGTGGCTAAAAACCCAATCTCGAACTCCACGTGCAGGATGTGTGTAAGTGCATGGGCAGGGAAAGTTCCGGGTTGTTGTAGGATTGGTTCATGTTTTAAGGCTCTCTTTCTTCCCATGGAAACACCGGAATTTGTGCTATACCCTTAAACGATAAACGCCTTTCCTATATAAACCCCAGCTCACCCCTAACAATTTATCTTTTATAGGGAGGGCCTATGCACATCCGGCCTGTTTTTTCAGAACGGGCGCATTTACAACATCTCGTTCATTTTTTGCTTCATCGGGCGGGAATTTTTCGATACCCAAATTTGTGTATCATTTGGCCCTCTAGGTAGTATAGTATCTTGCAGTACATTATAGTATTCGGAATGGGGTACCCATTACCCCCGATAGTGGAGAATCAAATGGAAAAGAAAATGGAACATGAAATGGAAACTGGGGTCATAAGGGGGATTATAGGGATTATTTGAGTAGTGTTTTATTTGGGGATATAGTCCGCATCTGACGAAAGAACCTAGACGAACTAGCCAGGCAATCCCCAGCCGTTGGCCACCGTTGCCGAGTTTGGGGACTTGGATTCATTGAAGGCGAGTGAGTCATAGACCCTAAACCTCGAACCAAAACCTTGGATATTGCCCCCCCACCACCCCTGTCAATAACAGCCCCCGATAATCTCAATATCCATAAATTCAGCAGTAATAATGTATACGCTGCAGCAACTATTATTGCAGATGTTTAGTATAGTCCCTAATATTTTCCTCGATAGGAATCGAACCCATGTCCATTAAACGTATATGGAAATATTCACTGTAGCTGTAGCTCAAGTGACCGGCGGCGGTATCGACCTTACCATGAACCCTAAACCCCTAAACCCTAAACCCCTAAGCCCTAAACCTCTAAACACTAAAACCTATTCAAGCCTTTTGCACCTCATGGCTCCGTTATTTCAAGGTTGAGACACACGCGTCACGGGTACTTGTAGAGCCTGATGTGTAGATTCCCGATTTGTATTTGGCAAGTGGGTCATGCCTGTCTTGGATTGCAAGTAAAATTTACACATAAACCTCTGCTTCCCCAAGATGAGCTATCACTGGTATTGAGGGATACTGCCTGTGATGTAGCAGCCTGAACATGAGGGTCATTGCATGTGTATATATATATATGTATGTACGAATACGTGGACTTTGTCTTGGTAAAGCCAGCGGCAAGCACTCAGATTAACTTTAGCGCCGCTTCGCGGGTATTTCATGTAAGGCACGGCAGTACCGCCGTATGTCTCAACAGTGATAACGGATAGTTCTGGTCTCAGGTCCAGTAGTGCTCAATCTCGAAACGCTAGAGATGTGGCTTTTCTGCTTGGTGTATTTATCATCTGCCAGGTTGGTGCCACGCCTTTGGGGTAATATTGTGGTTATATTGGGATAATGGAACAATGGAAACTACAGTGGGGTTATATAAAGTTTAAGGTTTAGGATTTAATTAGGACAGACCTTAGGAGCCCAGTCACCTGCACATAAGGGGTTATTTTTCCGCAGCTGTGATAGAGAAGTGTAGTTGCTTTGCCTGTTGTCCAGGAACCTACTGTATAGCTGACAGGAATTCTAGGGATCTACATGCAATAGAAATCATGGCATGACCTTGTGTGTTTTTGAGTTGTGTGGTTCAGGGTACAGACATGAAGGCTCAGACCTGAGGTCTGGGTGTAGGTGGTGGGGTGGGAAGTCCCTAACCCTGCATGGGCCTGCATGTAATGAAGGAATTGGTTCCAATATGGCGATAAGATCCTGGGGGCGAAGATACCCGCATCAGCTCTCGGCCTCAACTTCTGATGCCTTTGCAACAGGTGCTACTGGATGCCGGCGCATCGCTTCACAAGACTACGTCAACAGGCTCATATCAGCTTGCGATGCTTGGAAGTAGCCTGGTGTGTTGAAGCCTGGGCGTGAGAAGAGTCTTCTAGTGGAATCTTAGGTTCAATATGGCGCTTTCTGGAGCTTTCCCAAATTAGGGTTACCATTTTGGGGGTCTCCATAGTAGGGATTATAAGATATTAAGGTCTATATGTGGGTTCCCCTATTTATGGAAACTACTATTTCAGGATGTCAAAGCAAGGGCATTGGAACACGACGGTGTCTTCTTAGGTATGTGCGGCAGAAGGGAAAACGTTGTAGGGTTGCATCAGGCTGGTACGATGCCCAAAAACATGTCTTGTAGGAGGGGGTTGTAAAACAGTTGTTTGAGAAGCCCAACACCATACCAGAAGTCTTGTTTAGCAATGTATCCCACCTATTCCAAGCGGCACGCTGTGGGCATTCAGCTTCTGCAAGAGCGGGCAACATGCCACCTAGACAGGATAGACTTTGGCTCAACAGTACCCTTTCTTTTTAAGGAAGCCCCTCTATGCATCAAGCATACAAACTACACGGCTACTTAGGCACATGGACCCAATATTCTATAGTAGTTTCCATTTTCTTTTCCATTATCTCAATATTAACCCCAATATACTACTATAGTAGTTTCCATTTTCTTTTCCATTATCCCCATATAACCCCAATATACTATAGTAGTTTCGCTGGGTTACTGGGGAGCCTAGAGGGTGTGTCAAAGCGCAGGGGGGGAGGCGATACATTACGCCGCCAAGGGTGGCCATCAAGTGGCTGGGCTCAGTTGAGCTATGTCTCATATCGTCAAAAGGGCGGAGGATTACAAGGGTTATTCAGGGTATTACTAGGAGTTTAGATTATAGCTCAATTGGAGCTTGGTGTTCAGGGTTTGCGGTTCGCAGTTTGGGATTGGGTTGAAGGTGTTCAGCTTTACGGACTCAATTTTAGGATTCCTTAAGGGTCCAAGGACCCAAATAATAGGGCTTTAGGGCCCAAATACTATATTATTAATGGTACTTGGGCCCTAAAACCCTCTTATTTGGGTCCTTGGACCCTTAGGGATTATTTGGGCTGTGAAGTTCTGAGGGTTTAGCTTCTTGGTGAGTGCAGGCTGCCTTATTAGGGTGGTTTTTTGGAGGTTTCCGAAAGTAAAGGGTACATTTTTGGGGGGTCCCCATGATAAGGACTATCGTGTCTTGATGTCTATATTGGGGTCCCCCTATTTAGGGAAATTACCTGTTCTACCTTGGCTGAAGGGTTTGTTTTGACATTGCCAGCGCTAGCAACCATGCAGAGGCCAGATTGGGTCGCATAAGTATCAGAGACCCCTTTCGGTGATTTTTGTCAAGCTTCAACTTTCTTGAAGACATGGACGAGGGGCCGCAGAATGATAAGCAGAAACAAATGCTGACCTTTCAGAAACATATAAGCCATAAGAAGCAGAACAATCGATGGCCCCAATTCGGTACGAAGAAAAGGTATGGGGGCTTGTGCAGCCTCAGATAGGAGGTTTGTATCTTTGCAAGTTATGGGTTCCTGTTCGAAGCCACTGCGCAAGTAGCCCAGGCTTACATTGTAATGATGGCAAAAGCTTCGGGAAAATGCCAAGTCTGCCGAAAGTTTATGCAGCTTAGATCCTGAGTCAAGATCGCATCGCTGCAGGCACCGTACCCCATCAGCAAGCAATTCTTTATCCTTAAGCCCTCATGTTTATACAGATATAGCCTCTCCACAGAACTAAGGAAATTCCAGGAGATTTCAGGCGGGCAGTTTCCCCCACATTCGCCTTTTGTAGCCCTCATGTAACTCCGAGCTTCGCCATGCAAAGCTTCACTTGATCATGGGTTTCCCTTTCCCCTATACTACCCCCTATGTATTCAATCAATTGGGCGTATCTTTTTTTGGAGGAGGACCAGCAACTGCCCTGGCAGACCAGGAAGTGCTGACTGAGTTGCTTGCTCGCCGTGCAAGCCTGGATGCTCGAGGCATCAAACGCATAGGGTTACCCTGAACCCTAAACCTTTTAAGCTTTAGAGAGATTTGAAGGATTAAGGGTCCCCTTCTGGGGATCCCTATGAGAAGGATTTCAGCATTTTACGCATCTATATTACGGCCACCTGTTTTTCAAAGCGCCTAGGTTGTTGTTCTTGTGGCGTGTCGGGTTTATAGTCTTCAGGATGTAGGGCTTTGGTCCCTTGCCCTGTATGCAGCCTTTTTCTTGTTTGGCGTAATTGTCTTCAGGGTGAAGCTTGTAGTTGTAGGGGCTAGGAGAATATGATCTTTAGGAGGGTTTGGGTTCTAACAGGTTTCAGGGACCTCAGGCAGAAGAAAGTCATGGAATCCCTTGCGTAGGGATATTGCCCTGTATGTCCCTGGCGATCCAAGTTTATAAATGTACAAACGACACCTACTTTGGGCCCTAAAGTCCATAGCACATGCGTTTGGGCTTGGCCATTTGGATGGCTAGGGCATTGAATAAAAAGAAGATTCAGGTGGCCCCAGCCCAGAGGGACCCAGACCTTTTCCACCAGATTCTGCCTCAAGCTGTGAGTTATCCCACCAAGTAGGGGCTGTTTGCAAATCAGCGTGAAGTCTGCGGTGAGGAATTTGGTCAGAGCAGAGTGAGCCCGACAAGAAATATCTTCAAGTCACACCCTGCGTCTCAACCGCACGTTTCTAGACACTGGACGCTGAAGCCTAGACCCTGAACCTGCAACCCTACAGCCTCAAGCTCCCATCCTAAACTTACTGTTTTGCTGCCCTCATGGGGTGGGGTCATGCGTTGTGCACATTAGTTGTAAGTGCTGATGGAGCTTTGTCCATCAAGTTTCCGTACGAAAACAGCACTCTCCGAATAGTGCCCTCCCCTAAGCTCACACGGAACACTGTATTTGTAGTGGCCTCTTTTTAAAGCAGAAAACGTGTTCATTGGCCTCTTGTGGGTTTCATGTCGTTTGTGGGAGAGTCCCTCAAGGGAAGCTAGGGAGTGTGGGCGACCAACAAGCATGGAAAAGATTCGCATAGAACCTACGAGAAATCAAGAGTGGTGTATCCCGTATCGCCCAAACCAAATCTAGATTTTTTGGGAGTTTCCAAACGTATGGGCCTCCTTAGGCATTTTCCAAAAATACCATCATATTTCGGACCCCCTAAATATGTGGCAAACCTAATTCCTATAAACCACTTGAAATCTCAGTTTCCATTTCTTGTCCATTTAATTCTCTCCATATTGTGCGCGATATCCGTACACCCTTTACCCTATAAACCCTAAACACCCGTATCCATTTCAATCCCGTAGAAGCCCTGTATACCCCCAGATCATGCCCATAGTATCGCTTCCAGTGAGGCCCTTACGGTAGCCTAGCCAGGCCCTGATGGAGCCCAACCTCTCCACTGGGCTGCGATGGAGGGCAGCCCCGACGTAATCGACTTCCTGATCCGTCACGGCGCAAAGCCAAACTCGCAAATGGTGGATGGATCCCAGGCTGCTTCTTCGGGCTTTACCGGCTTTAGAGTTTGGGAAGAAGGGGCTTTGGCTTGCCAAAGGTTTAGGGCTAATGGTTACCTGAACTGCAGCATGATGATGGGAGCAGCAATGAGGAGGAAGTTGTATGGGAATGCCAGGATGTCGTCTCCCCTACTATAGTCCGCTTAAAGTAGATGGAATATGGCTTTGGGTATATTATAATAAGGTCCCCATATACCCCATATTCTATCTACTTTAGGGGGACTATAAACCCTAAACCCTAGAGGCTATATCCTTCATCCAACTTTGAAACACAACACCTCAAGCCGGCGGGCTGAATACGTAACTTGAAACGACAAGGCCATAGTGGTGCAAGTAGCTTATAGTAGGTATGAGTTCTAGACTTAAGTTTAGGGTTTAGGGTTTATAGGGCTTATAGGTTATTGTTGGCCCAAAATGAGTATAGCTTTTGCCTGGCCCAAGCTAGATATTGGCTATAGATGTTCTGCCCCGAAGTAGGCATCGCTTGTAGTTTTGGATCCTCAGGGGTACTGACAGCGATAACTGCGTCCATCCGGTAAAAATCACATGACGGCTGAAACCTTAAATCCTAAACCGTCCCACAGGCTGTAGTAAGTACTGAAGAAATGTTCCCCTTTTGGGAAGTGACAGGGAAATCCGATAGATCTTGACAACCTGAATCCTATTGACCTTAAACAACCCTAAACCCCTGCAAATCCTAAACTCCTCCAAACCCTAAACCCTAACCCCCTACATCCGAAATCCTATGGACCCCAGCGGCCCTAAGCTTAATATTTGTAGCCACAACCTGTGTAATCCAGCCTCGGGACTACCTTGACCCTCCAGTGCTGGGCTGTATGAGCTATGGTCTAAACTCGTAGTATCCCCCTTACTAGCCTTTGTAATGCTACCCTACATATTCATTTATAAATCCCCCCTTAACAAGTTCAGACTATAGCTCATATTGCAACGTCAGAAAGCCTAAAGTGGCTAGGTAAGGCTGCCTCAGAAACTTATACCCTAAGCCGAACGCTCCAACACCTAAACCCAGAACCCCTAAAGGATCCAAAAAATGGACCCTTCCCCAAGATGAACCAAGTACTACATTGGGGAACCTAGAGGATTATTAGGGGGTTGGATCCTTCAGGGGCTCTGGGAACCCCTCATTCTTTTTCGAAGCAATGGCACCTTGTAGTCAAAAAGCCTAATTGGGAGTTTCCCAAAATGAGGGGCACCAGTATTACCATTTTGGGGGGTCCCTGTAATAAGGACTACAATATTTAGGGGTCTATATGGGGGTCCCCTTGTTTTGGGAAACGACCAATTATACCCCAAACTCGAAACCCTAAACCCTTTGAAAACCCTTTTGGCCTGAGACTGCAGCCCGCCCTCTGTCAGAACTCAGGAGCCACTACGCCATTACATTTGAGCTCTGCAAGTGGTCACAGGTCTCTGTTGAAAGCCTTGCTGTCGCCTGGTCTTAGGCTTGAGGATTGAAGGTTCAGGCTTAAGGGCGTAGGTTTTAGGGCTTAGGGTTTAGGGCCCTAAGCTCCAAAGTCGTGGCTCTTTTATGGAATGGGGGCTATTATACTTACCCGTGTGTGGGGTCCGGTTAGAATTTAGGGTTGTGGAGCTTTTTTATGGCTAAAGGATCAGGAGCTTTGAATCCATATCTTCAGGCTTGCGGTTCGCAGCTTGGAGTGCATGTTATCTGGGAGGTTTTGAGACCAGAATGTGGAGTATGCCAAATAGCTTGAGGGTGTCCATGTACCCAATGATTCGGTGCTTGGGATTTTGATATTCATTTTGTGAAAGTATCTGATTTGGGTACTTGGAACACCAGGGATCGGGTTTAGGTTCAGGTGTTTTGGCCTTCTGGCATTTTGGATTCATGCTGTGACTCTCACCCTGAGGGTCCAAGGACCCAAATAATAGGGCTTGAGGACCCAAATACACAAATTGTCATGGTATTTGGGCCCCAAAACCCTATTATGTGGGTCCTGGGACCCTGAGGGTCAAGGTCTTCTTCAAGGGTTAGTGTCAGACCCTGGGTTTGGGATTTTCATCTGAGGTTAGGGAAGGGGGTGGAGTTGTGGTAGCCTCAGTGCCTTGAGGGACACGGAAACCTCGCAATAGGGTTTAGGGCAAGGGACCTTTCGAGTTCTGTAGTTAGTGGGCTGTGGGACAGTTACTTTGTCTTACCGGTTGTTAGCAGGGAATAGGGGAATACAGGCCCATAGAGTATATTGCCCCAGTAAATTTCTGTCATCCACAATTTCTTTGATCCACAGCCAAGGTCGGCGAGAGCGGACCCTTATGCTCTGGATGGGGCGAAGCTTTCTGTTGTCCAAATTGTTCCCGGGCTAAACCCTAAAACCCCTAAACCACCAAACCCTGACCCCTAGGGTCTTACATAAGCTAGGCGTATTCAGGGACCCTGGCCCCTTAACAGTGGACACAGGGGTCCCTCTTGCAGTGTAGGAGACGTCCTAATGTAGTCCCTAATAGCCAACTCACGTCCATAGATTATCGGAACTTTGACCGTAACTTATAGAGATCCTCATTGATGTTGTCTTGAAATCCAAGGATACGAATTCTGGTCGTCTGGGGTAAGACTCGCGGTCGAGGACTTGCGGTTTGGGGTTTGGAGAATTGGCTTGCCAAATGCACTGGCTATGAGTTACACGCCCTATTATACCTTAGCCGGTGCTAGATTTCGTATTCCCTAAAACCCTAAACCCTAAACCCTAAACAAGGGGTGTTGAGGTGCAAGCAAGCATTGAACGTACTTAAGGCCTAGATCATTTTGTTGAGAATACTGGAGGCTACGGCTAGGGGCCTTGATGCTAGGGTCCCTTAAAGGGGTTATAGGGGGATATATAGGGATATATGGGGATTATATAAGGGTACAAGGACCCAAATAATAGGGCTTGAGGGCCAAGACACTATTATATTAATGGTATTTGGGCCCTAAAACACTATTATTATTAGGGTCCTTGGACCCTCAGTTTAATAAATCCCCTGGTCTAGTTCTTGTCTATCTGCATTCAGGGGCCTAAATAATGGAGAGACAGCCGGGAGAGAACATGGAAGATGAAAGGGACACCGGTAGGGATATTTGCCACTAAAGATTGTTGTAAAATCCTGGTATAACTATTTTGTAGGGTGCCTGACAAGGACCTCGGACTGATATCGGTATTTATTCAGGCTTTGACATTCCGCGCTGTTTGCGCTGCACCCAATCCCTTTGGCTGATATTCCCAACCCTGAAACCCAAAGCCTTCAAGTAACGCCACCCAAGTAATTAGCATACTTCCGGCTACCTGGATCAAGAGGGCCTGTAATTCCACTGCCTCTTGTTGAAAGCTCTGCTCCCAGAAAAAACGGTATAACCCATGAAGTTTCCATTTCCTTTCCCGTTATCCACCCACCCCAAATTGTAGTTTCCATTTCCTTTTCCCTTACCACCACCCCCACACCCCCAAGAAAAAAAACAAATAAACTCACATAGCATTTTCCTTTTGCCCAATACACCCTCCCAAAGAGTAGTTTCCAGCTGCTTTTCCATTATCCCTCCCAAGTAGGACCCTAAACCCTTAGCCGTAACCCCTAACCCTAAACCTTAAACCCTTAAACCTTAAACCATTATCCCCCCCCCCCAAATAGTACTTGCCCCTGGACCTTGCTTTCCAAAGCCAAGGCGCGATCCAGAGGACATGAAGATGCTCCTAGCGCTGGAAAAGAAAATGGAAACTAGTTGGTTTAGGGTTTAGTGTTTAGGGTTTGGGGTTTAGGGTTTGGGGTGTAGGGTTTGGGGTTTAGGGTTTAGGGCTTGGGGTTTAGGGTTTAGGGTCTGACTTGGGGAGGAGAATGGAAAAGGACATGAAAACTATTGTTTGTGAGGGGATAATGGAGAAGGACATGAAAATTACTAGTTGGGGGCGGATAAAGGAAAAGGAAATGGAAACTGCATGGGCAATATAGGCTATATATAAGGATATAAAACTGGATTGGAAAAGGAAATGGAAATTACAACTTAGGGCTTAGGGTTTCGGGCTCAAGGAATGGAAAACCAATTGGAAACTGTTGTATTCGTATGCGTTATATAGGCGCGACTGGAGGAGATCTATTCCTCCAGTCCGAAAAAAGAGCCAATAGCAGTTTTCGGAAAGTAGGTTTTAGGGTTTAGGGGTCAGGGTGTAGAGTTTTGGGGTAAGGGGTTGAGGTTGATATGTATCTTCATGGGATTTCGGTCCTACGCAGCAGCTAGATCAGATTCTTGGATGCCAGAGTGCTAGGCGCTGTTCTGTTGAAGAAACCTGGAAAGGCAGCAAGATAAAACGAGAGTACTATTCAAACCATCTGGTGGTTCGCTGTACGAAATCCTGAATGCCTCCTCTTTTGGGACTCGCGCCTAGATGTAAGAAATAGAATCCCTGAGCCCCCATGAAGCCCTGAACCATTGAACTCGCACCCCAAGCCCTGAAGACTTTCTCATTGTGCTCGGAAAGCCACTCAACGCATAAGCAGCACGTGGCCCACAGGTTCTTTAACACTTCACACCGTCTTTTTCGTTCGTAGCGCATGCATTCCTAGTATTCGAGCGTCTAGGACACTTTCTAGGATCCAGATAGCCCGAAGTAGGTCCCTTTTTATAGACTTTAGAGCGTAAGTTAGCTTTTTGTCGGATTTCAGAGCGCAGTGTAGGTATTACTTCTAGACTTAGATCCGTAAAGTCTGACTGTGAGGAAATCCTCAGTGGGCTGCGTAACGCTGGTGCCTGGGCCCGATGAGGATGAACTTGTTTTAGGGTTTGGGGTTTAAGGTTGCCTATTTGGTAGATTCCTAAAATGATGGGACCCCAATATAGACCCCATAATACTATAGTCCTTATTATGGGGATCCCCAAAATGGCACCCCTAATTTTGGGAAACCCCCATATAGTAAGAGTTATATTACCCTAGTAAATGAGAATCAAATGGACAAGAAGATGGATAAAGAAATGGAAACTAGGTCTATTAAGGGGCTTTTTGGCATGAATGCCCATGTATGGTCCTAGTTACAGTTTCAGTGCAAAACAACGGTATTACAGGATACTAGTCTTTCAGGCCCCTACACATCTTAGTCATTGATGAAAATGCTTACTCGCCTTTTTTTACTAGAGCTTAGTGTTGTTACATCAACTCAACCCCACGGAGAGGACAAAGTTGCAGATTGAAAATACACTAAACAGGAGACAGCTGTTATTGGTGGGAAAACATCCGTCGAAGCCATGAAGCATCCGCTCAAACACTGGCATCGTGGCCGTTATAAACGACCCCCCCCCATTTCGCATTGTCCCCTCTGATGTCTGGGCAACGTTCAGATTTGGAGATAATTTGCGTCTCCAGCAATCGGTCCTTAGCTAGCGAAACAGTTCGGGGCCCATGTTTGGGGCCCATGTTAAGGATCTCAGATGTATCCATGAGATAGGTGTTGAGTTCCCCCAAACCCTCTTACCCTATAGTCCCCCTTAAGCAGATAGAATATGGGGTATATGGGGGTCTTATCATCATATACCCCAAAACCATATTCTATCTACTTAAGGGGGACTATAACCCCACAAGCCCTCAATCCTGAAGCTGTAGTGCCTAGGTGTAGACGTGCCTTCTGCTCCGCGCAGCACGGAGCTGTAGCGGGAGACCAAAGCATTGTGCTTTGGGAGAACTCCCGCTAGCTGTTGGGATGATACTAGCTAAAGGACAAGCATACTTGATGGTTTTGGGGCTGTTTTATGTGCAGCACATGGGCGCAGCCTTGCTGAAGATCTTATTTCTCGACTTCTGGCTGCACATGGAACTCCCACAGGGGATGCGAGAAATTATTTGATTTGGCAGCTGTAAAGTCTCAAGTTTAGAAGGTCCGCGCTTGCAAACTTGTTCCAGCTTCAGACTTTTGCAGTGACACGCATTCTACGATCTAATCAAAGCACTGCAGCATGGCCAAGATACAGTTGACACGCTAGTTTCTCAAAACAAGGGTTTAGGGTGTAGGGCGATTCCTGAGGTGTTGCTTGAAAGCCCTTTAGAAACTTGTTTCTGTGACAAGGAAACCCATCCTGTACAGTATTCTCATGACCTACATTGTGGACCTCCAAAGATGTAGAGTGTCCAACCATAGAGTTGTGAAGCATTGCGACGGTGAGCGATAAGGCGCAAAAAGGCACTGCATGGAAGGTGAGGGTCAGGGTCCAGGGCCTTTCCCAATCAATGGGTTTAGGGTTTAGAGTTCAGGGATTAGGGTTTAGGGTTTAGGGGCTATGCCAAAGGAACTACTGCTTCCGTCTAGCTTTCTTGACATCCTACACCCCCGCAACCTCGACTTTTGACGCATCCTCAGACGTAGACATGTGCCTGGCATTCAGGCTTTTGGACTAGTTGCATCTGTGGCCTGGTGCCACGTTTCCACTGTGTTTGGTCTGTAGGTACGCTAAGAGTCTCCCTTGGGACCCTACAAGGGGACCTGAGGGTTCAATTTCATTCTCCATGCTCTATTCAAACTTGATTCTCCATTATTCCCTAACCTCCTATAAAGACCCATAGATTACCCCTTTCTGGCAGTTTCGGGATTGAAGTCTTGACTCCCGATGTTGTCGCATGCAAAAGCTACACAGCTGCCTCGTGAGGTAGTAGTGGTAGTAACGGGGTGGTCCACCAAGTGGATTTGGAGGCATCGCCCGGGGTATCATGCGTTTCCAAATACTGCATTGTTGCAGTGGCTGACTGGAGAGAAAAGGTCTCGCAATGATTTGCTGACAGAAGTCAAAGGCAGTGTGGTAGTTACCACAAATAGGAGGACTCCCAATATAGACTATCCTCATAGTCATGGGGACCCCAAACAACATACCTCTACTGCAAACCCTTATGTGTGGTTCTTTGGAGGAAGGCCTCGCCAGCTGTCTTTGTTAGGACTTCGCTGTTCGCCTGCATCCCTGTGCCTGCCACGCCGCTGACCTTAAGTCACCATTTAGGGTTTTAGGGTTTCAGGGTTTAGGGTTTAGGCTTTTGCGGTGTTTAGGCCCTTCCTGTTCGCCATGGCCCGGAACAAGGTAAAGCATGACGCAGACATCAAGAAGATGTGCAAGCAGGCCAGGGGGTCCAAAACGAAACTCCCAAAGGATCCAGTTCGGCGGTAGGTAAATCGGAGGTTTCACAAAATAAGGAGTATAGTATTTGGGGGTCTATACTGGGGTCCCCCTATTTAGGGAAACTACCATATAGGGTTTGGGGCTGAGGGGGTTGAGGGTCTAAGTTAGGGGGCCCACAGGGGCTTCCATACAATTACTTTGGGGCTCGAGCATATACCATACAGCCACATGGACCCTTTGGGTATGGCCGGGTTCCCGAAACTACTCGCTGTGTGAGTTGCATGGAGTCTGCGACGACACCAGATGTACCCTGCTTCAGCACAGTAGTTCAGTACTGTTAAAGTTTAGGGTTTTGGGTTGTGGTTTGTTTTTTTTTGGGGGGGTCTGCATGCTACTCCAGCGGCAGGCCTAAATCCAAAAAGTGCGCTCACCAGAATACGATGTGAACTAAGTTGATGTGGACGTTATGGCAACATTTAGGAATCATATGCGGTTCTTAAGAAATGTCCAGGGGACACCACTTCAAACTCGTGCAGGCTATAGCTGGCGCGAAAGACACCAAGGACAAGGAGCAGAAGATTCTGGATTCCTTCAAAGCCTGGGATAAGGATAAAAACGGTCACATCTCCAAGGACCTGGCCATGTTCTCTGCTGAAAAGTGTGGCTCTATGCGGTTTTCTGTTTTCTGCGGTGAATGCATACATACATACATACATACATACATACATACATACATACTTACATGCGTACGTACGTACATACATACAGACAGACAGACAGATAGACATACATACATAAGCGCCTTTGAATGGAGGTTGTTGCATTGCTGCAAATGCCTCAATGTAGCGCCCTATTCATCATGGAAACAACCATATGATGCGTGGTGTTTTTCATCGGTCATAGGAGATATGTAAAGGNNGATTCGTGACGCAGGGTTTTTGAGTATGTGTATATGTATATATCTATATATATCGATCTATATGTATGAATATATATATATACATATGCACACTCTCTAATAGGATCCACCCAAACTCCTCATAATCCACACCCTAAACCTTAAACCTCAAGCCAGAAGTCTCAGAGGATGAATTGTCCGCGGTTTTAAGCTCCCTTGGGTGCTCCACGACACAAATGGATCTGGACGTGATGTTGCTCGCCTGGCTGTTTCCTGCTTGGCTGTAACTTTGGGGCCCTAACTCCTAGGATGGGTATTTCCAAGAGTCCTGGACTCCTTCTGCGTATGCCTGGTGCACCACAAATGGTTTCAGTCTCTTCTACAGGGACTGCCGCAAGAAAGTCCTGATTTCTGGAATCCCCCAAGCGGTATCTGCTGTGGGCCTTAAAGTCTGCAAGCAGTACATAGCTCTTCGGCGAGTTGACGCCCGCTTAAAATTTTGGCCAGCGATTCAGCCGAGGTTGAAGGAGGCCGATTTGGACATGGATGGCAAAATTGACTATGAGGACTGGCCCTGAACCTTACCTACACCCCAAAAGTATGTTGAATAATGGCCTTTTGGGCCATATTTAGGGGTTTTGGGTTATTATTTTACCTACTTTTGGGGTCCAGGTAAACCTACGGGATCCCACGTTGACAGGGCTGCATGCAGATCCGACTCACCAGTTTTGACAGGAGGTTGTATAGGTGCAGATATGGACATCTCCAAACCACAGGGTTCCCCGTACTTATACACCCCAAAGTACGATGGCTATAATCCATTGTGGAGAGTGGAGCGTAGAGCCTGAAGGCCGGAAAGACGAAATTGTGAGAAATTCACCTGTTGGCATGCCCCAGCACCCTTATGGGGACCCATAACTAAGGACTCCCTGAGATATCCCTTAGGCTCCCTAAGGCCCCATGTCCTAACATGGGGCCCGTCTTGTACAAGTTCAGCTTCAGGTGCAGGCAAAAAATGATGTGAAGGTTTACACCTACAGGCACACAGATGCAGAGACATAGAAATTCTAAACCCTCAAGCCTAGAGTTCCCCTGAAGTAGATAGAATATGGCCTTGGGTATGTTATAATAAGACCCCATATACCCCATATTCTATCTACTCAAGGGGGACTATACATCAACCCTAAATGTCTCATGTATGGAAGGAGCCTCCAGGGCCAGTAAGGAATGGAAAAGAACACGGAAGCAACCCCTACGGGTCCAAGAAACCAAATAATAGGGTTTTAGGGCCCAAATACTCTAATGTTAATGGTAGTTGGGCCCTAAAGGCCTATTATTTGGGTCCTTGGACCCGGTCGGAACACGGTAGCGTTTCGGGATTTGTACGGGGTCTACCATAGCGCTTACTGATGGTCCTTTACCAGCATAATGTGGGGGGGGTTCCCAAAATTAGGGTCCCATTTTGGAACCGCTAAATATTAGATGCCGTAATATAGTTTATACCCCAAAGGGGTCCATAATTTCGAGAAGGACCCTTGTAACCCGCAACCCTCTAATCGTCTTTTTAGCAGGCCAAGTTAGCTGACTTCGGGCGTTGTAGAAACAGAACCCATAACAAGTATAGTTTCCCGCCCCGTGTAGTCATGTAATCAGAGCCCTACATTCTACGTGCAAACTCCAAGCCAACTCATATGATATATGCCGGTAGTCGATGAGAAATGCCCGTTGTGTCCTACATAGGCCCCTAAACAAGAAAGCCTCCCAGACCTAAACACTGAACCCTTACACATTGACTTCAAAATCTATCATCAAAAGCTCCAAATCTTTCACCCAAGTCTAGATTCCAAGCACGAACACCTTCGACCCTATACAGACCCCTAAAACCCTGAACACTAGAAGCCATAAAACTCGAAGTCCCAGCCCCTTTTCCCGTGTTGCGTCGCTGAGTTCCTTACCAAAACCAGATTCGGCTAAAGAAAGGAGATCCCATCCATACCTATATCTATGTGTATATATATATATGTATATATAGATATATATACGGTGGAGTTGAGGGTTTAGGGTATGTATCTATCTGTTTATGTATGAATATATATATATATATATATTGGTGCAAGGAGATGGTCCAATGGCTCTGCCGAGCCCCGCATCTGGAGCAGCTGTGATGCTAGCTAGTAGGGTTTGGGGATTAGGGTTTGGGGTTTAGGGTTTAGGTTTTAGGGTTGAGGGTTTACGGAGTAGGGTATTAGGATTTAGGGCCAGGGTTTTAGAGGTTTAGAGCTTTAGGGTCTAGATTTCATCTGGTAGACGAGAGTCTTGATACTATACTACCCATGCCTCCTAGCCGTTGCTTGTTACGGGGTCTAAATGTTGACTCTTCTGGTCTTAGACGTACTTCAAATAGACCCCAAATTCATACTGCTCGTTATCCAGGCCCTTGCAGCATATTGGTCATGTAGGGTTTCGTCCTAACAGCAGTGCTTGGGATTCCAGGCAATATTTCCTCCTTTCCCTGGACATTTTCAAGCGCAACTTCAAAGATGTGGATGCCGAGGCCCTTGGTCGAGGGGGAAGTTAGCAGTGCCCATCGCAAAATCCTTAACCTGAAGCCCTGTATGAGCTATTGTCTAAACTCCTTAAGGGGTTGCAAA